TGCAAGCATCATACTTCATGTGAGTTTTTAAGAACTTTTCCCATGAGATGAGACTGAGCCAAGAATTCTACTGTTGTCATTTCTATTCAATTCAACATTTTGCTAGATTTCCTATCCAAGCAACAAGGCAAAAAAATAAAAATAAAAGAAGAGGAGGAAGAGGAGGAGAAGGAAGAAGGAAGAGGAGGAGGAGAAGGAGGAGGAGGAGGAAGAAGAAGAAGAAGAAGAAGAGAAAGAGGAAGAAAGAAAGAAAGAGGAAGAAAGAAAGAAAGAAAAGAAAGAAAAGAAAGAAAGAAAGAAAGAAAGAAAGAAAGAAAGAAAGAAAGAAAGAAAGAAAGAAAGAAAGAAAGAAAGAAAGAAAAAGAGAAAAAGAAAACAAGCTAAATAAAAGATAAATGCTATAAATGCTGGAAACAAAGAGACAAAATTGTCATGTACGGATGGTTATGGCACAAAAACACATACACATTTCATTTAAATATGTTCAAAAAAAGAAAGAATAATGTATGCATTAAAAGTCATGATAGTGGTTACCCTTAGGGGGCAGATATTAAAGGGGGAGTGAAGGAACTTCTGATATACTGGTAATGTATCTCAATCTGAATGCTAGTTGTAAGGGTGTGTTTACTTTGTAAAATTGTATTGAGTTAGGTAATTAATTGTGTACTTCAAACATATGTGATTCTTCAGTTAAAATTTTTACATGTAAATGGTAGAAATAATAAAATATTATGTATTTGAATAATAAGCTTTGGCAAGGTTGAAAAAAAAATAAGGCAAGACAAATTTTATTTTTGTAGCAATACTTTCTCTCACTTAATCTCTGCCAAAATCTACCAGGTTTTTTTTGTTGTTGTTGTTGTTTTTGAGTTGGAGTTTCACTCCGTCGCCCAGACTGGAGTGCGGCAACGAGACCTCATCTCTACAATAAATCAAAAATCAGCCAGGCGCGGTAGTGCGCGCCTGTACTCAGAAGATTGAGGCGGAAGGATCCACCAGGTTTTAAAAGTTTGTAAACAGCCGGGCTAGGTGGCTCAGCCTGTAATCCCGCGCTTTGGGAGGCTGAGGTGAGTGGATTGCCTGAGTCCGGGGGTTCGAGACCCACCTGGGCAACTGGTGAGACCTTATCACTACAATAAATAAAAAAAAATCAGCCGGGTGTGGCGGCGCATGCCTGTAATTCCGGCTACTCAGAAGGCTGAGGCGGAAGGATCGCCGGAGCCCAGCAGGTCGAGGCTAAGGTGGCCGGGAGCGGCCACTGCACTCCGTTCTGGGCGACAGAGTGAGATTACAACTCAAAAAATAAAAATAAAAAATAAAAGTTTGTAAGCAATCATGCCAAATTTTCTGAAAATAAATTTCTTCCCCTATATAAAAGTGTGACAGAATAAAAGAAAAAAGAGTCTTAAATTTATTATATAGAGCTAAGAAAGCTTTATATCAAAAGATAACCAGAATAATATAATAAAATGATAAGACAATCTCACTAATGAAGATACAAAAGTAATATTTTTTACAAAATCAAGCCAATATTATATTAAAATATTTCTTGACCAAATGAAATTGATTTTAGAATGATTTATCAGAGGAAGGCTTAATTTCAGAAAATACCATGTTAATAAATTTAAAAAAATACATTATCATCTTAATGCATGCAGAAAAAATCATTTATAAGATGTAGAGTGATTATTATTCTGCTTACATGTCTTGGGATTTAGCAGTGAAACTATTCTTTACTGCCCAGAGTCAATGATTTCAACTTGTCATTCAGCAAAATTGTGAAATTCATTAGGCTAACTTTGAATTTTCATGTTCTTCTTTCAACCCTTTTATGATGAATCTTTTATTTTCACTCAAACCTCTACTAGCATCACTATAATCTTGTTTCTTCATATCAAAACTTACACTCAGAAAAGAAAATGTTATATCCATCACACAGACCATAACTTCTTCTGCCTAAAATGGAATAAGAGACACTGAACCTACTCTTTCATGTGAAATGACATAAAAACCACAGCATCAGGCAATGTAGGACAACAATTATTCTGAGAGGTAGGAAATGAAGTGAGCCTAACAACTGGCCAGTCTTTTGTTTTGAGAGTTTCCAGGCTATAGCACAGAGAAGGGAATTTCAGGCAGAAGCTTATGAACTCCCAAAATTTAGAAAATGGAGCTAAGAATCTGGTGAGACCAAGGCTGCGCCTTGACAGGACAGCACATATGAGCGGGAAAAACTGCATGAAGAACTGTTTTAAAATCTTTAATTTTCAAAATGTCTTGATCTGAAAAGTCTCGATGTGACTTCAGAGATAAGGAGGGAAATTTAAGATTCCTTAGACTTCACAGAAACTTCTAACTGACCTGGTCTTCTAACCACAAACAATGTATTCTAGGAGGTTGCAATTTTTAAATTAGTAGGGCCAAGTAACATATTTCCTAGATTAATCCTGGCCCATTAATAAAGACTTCTTCCATGAGAAAACACTCCCAACCATTTCTTAATAGCAGTTACTCCTGCAGAGAGATAAAATCAGCAATTAATCAGTGGTTCTCAGTAATAATAGTGAATAAGAATAATCTGAGAAAACTTCCAGTAAAAATAAATTTTCTGGGATTGGTTTCTAAAATTCAAATATAGCAGCTTAATTATTGAACCATATTATTTGCATTCTTAAGGCATTAACTGTTTTATGTATTTAACTTACCCCATTGAAAATCAGTTTTATAAATGTTTCCTTAAAATTCAAGGAGGTGCCTCTGATGTGGAATACGTGGTTTTCTATGAACTGACGGTGAAAAGTTCTCTGTAAAATCACATCGTTGCTGGTGGCTTATCTCATCAAAACAGTCCTCAAACAACCATGTTTATATTGAGTCCAGACAATTAATTTAACCCCAAGAATTTCTGCACCTGGACTGTCTATCTACAAGGATCTGACCAAAGATAGACTGAGCAGATATTAGGAATGGAGCATGAGCCAATGCATAGTACTAAATCAGAAACACCTTATATATTCTGGCATATATATGGGCATTTATTATATGACTGGTCTTATGCTACACACACACTGTGTGTGTATATACATATATTATATGTACATATAATATATATACCATATATTCTATATAGATGTGTGTATTGTGTAAAACATAATACTATATCATATAACATATAATTTAATATGTAACTACAGCTTATTTAGTGAGACAATTATTTATGAGAACAGTGGAAAGAATAAGGAAAGTCTTTTTTTAACAATCAGGCCTAAGTTAGAGTTTCCTTTCATGTGTTCTCAGAGAATGACATATACTGTTTATTCTTTTCATAGTTCTCACTTTGCATCATATTTTTTATTTTACTAAACTGGAAGACCTGTAAGCCTCAAAATATGTGTTTTTAAATACTCTATCTTCACTGCTAGATTAGTGCCTGGAATTGGAAATGTAGTGGGTACTTAAAAAGCATTTATTAATGGACTAAATAAATATAAAGGTAGTATTTTTCATGATCTTGATTAAAAATGGCTCTATGGAAGGTCTATAACAAGTTAATAACCAATATTACATCAGTGACAACAAAGAAAATCACTCCTAAGGCAGATGTTGATTTCCCTTTAAGTTATTTTAATGTACAAATATATGATGTAATTGATTATAAAATTGACTGCATTCAAAGTCTATAAAGTAAAATAAAAACAGTATTATCACAATAGCAGGCAAGGGGATTTTATCTTAAGGTACAAGTGATTTTCTTCTATGTTATTTTATCTTTATGAAAATATATATAGGATTGTGATCATAGAGTAAGTCAGAAGTATGCTTCCCCTGATTGAAGAAGACAATATCCAAAATTATTGGAAGTTTCATTCATTTATTTAAGTAACACAATCGTTATCCAATCCTTTCCTTTGGTTTGATGTTTCAGAGTCAGCCTAGAAGAAAATTGCTTGAATTTTCTGAACACAAATCTAGTAAACTTCAAATTTAGTTCTTGTTTAAGATCCAGGGACATTTAAAAACTCAGCCTAAGATCTGAATTTGTGCTATTCAAACACACATTTCCTAATAAATGACTCCCAAAGAGACAGAATCAATTCAGAAAGAATTGTGCTTAAAAAGAATGTATGTTCTTATTAAGTAGATATTCTGCTTATGTTAGATTGAGTTGGTTTATTGTGTTGTTAAAGTCCTCCATTTTTCTCACTTGTCAGTATGCTTGCTGTATCTATGTTAAAGTAGAATACTGAGACTCCAACTGTGAGAGCAGGATTGTCTATCTCTTCTTTCAATTATGTTAGTTTTCCTTATTAAATGCTTTAATGTTTATCATTGTTATATCTTCTTGCTGCAGTTAATCTTTTATTTTATTATATTAACTTTGAGTGAATATTTATTAATTTAATTATTCAACACATTAAATGTAACACTATGTTATATATGAAATAGTCATAAAATATGAATTTCCTCATGTTAAAAAGAACCTCAGTTTTGTAATCATTTTTAAGTAGAGGGTTTTCCACTCACAAGGAAAAACATAATTACAAATTAATAATATGTTAAATTGATGCTTTATTTTTTTTCCTCTTTAGCTTCTGGGGATTAGGCTAAATATTCACAGGGTATTATTTAATCCTAGGCTGTCCTTCCTGAGACAAATATCTCATATTTGAAGTGTTGAACTACGATTAGAAAACGAACATTTATTTTTATACCAAATTTTTAGGCAAAATAAACTAGTAAAATAAATCTTGTTTAAAAAAAGAAAAAATTCCAGAGTCCATTTTGTACACATATGAGAAAATGATATAGATTGCATATAATACATATTGTTGCAAATATAAAATAAAATTATATATATAATTTTTGTTGAAATCAGCCACTTTTTTGTAATACAACACATTACAAATACAATGCCTGAAGGAAATCTTTGGGCAGAATCACATTGAACAAATAATATTCTCAGAATGATGGGAACATGTAGCACTATAGAAAGCTGGAATTCAGTGAAAAGTCACTTGCCGTTTTCGTAGTTTCTTCATAGATGCTTTCATCTCCTTATTTCTCAAAGTGTAGATAAGGGGGTTCAAGAGTGGAGTAAAAATGGTATAAAACACAGACAGGAGCTTGTCCACAGAGAATCTACTGAAGGGCCACACATAAATGAAAATGCAAGGCCCGAAGAACAGTGTGACTACCATGATATGTGCTGAGCATGTAGAGAGTGCTTTGGATGCTCCACCAGCAGCATGCCGCTGTCGTACAGTGAGGAGGATAACAATGTAGGAGATCATGAGGAGCAGAAAACAGCTCATGGAAAGCAGCCCACTGTCTGAGATCATAAGTATACCTAAGATGTAGGTGTCCATGCAGGCAAGTTTGATCACCAGAGGGAGGTCACAGAAGAAGCTGTCTACTTCATTGGGGCCACAGTAAGGTAAATTCACAGTAAAAGCCACTTGACTAATTGAGTGCACAAATCCAATAACCCACGAAACCAACACCAGCTTGATACAAGTCTGCCGACTCATCATAGTCATGTAATGCAAAGGTTTGCATATGGCCACATACCTGTCATAGGCCATGGAAACCAGCAGCACCATCTCAGCCCCACCAGTAAAGTGCAAAAAGAATATCTGAGCCATACATCCTCCAAATGAGATGAGTTTTTGATCCCTAAGGAAATCCCTGATCATCTTGGGGGTGGCGAATGAGGCCAGCCACATGTCCAGGAATGATAGGTTTCCCAGCAGGAAGTACATAGGGGAGGAAAGCAAGTGGGGGTCAGAAATTACAGTGACCACAACAAGGAGGTTGCCCAGCATACTGGCCACATAGATCCCAGAGAAAAATATAAAGAAAAAGTTTTGGAGTTGTTGTGAAGTGCAGAGGCCGTGCAACACAAATTCTGACACCAAGGAATAATTCTGCAGGTCCATTGTTTCAGGTTTCAGATTTTGTTCTGAATCTTAATAAGGAAAATAAAGTCTTGTCATTTGCAACAACATGGATAAACCAGAAGGACATCATGTTAAGTGGAATAAGCCAGACACAAAAATACAGATATTGAATGATCTCACTTACACGTGCAACCAAAAAAAGTCAAACTTTTAGAGGAAAATGGTGATTACCAGAGGCTGGGGACTGAGAGTATCGGGGAGAAGTTAGTCAAAGAACAAAGTTTCAGTTAGACAGGAGAAGCAAATTCAAGAGATGCATTGTATTTCATGGTGGTTATAGCTAATAATAATACATTGCATACTTGAAAACTGGTATGAGACTAGATTTTGTGCTTTCACCACAAAAATGATAAGTACATGAGGTAATGAATGTGTTAAATAGCTTGATTTAGTCATTTCACAATGTATACATATATCAAAATATCATGTAGTATACTATAAATGTATATTATTTTTGTCAGTTAGAAAGAAAGAAAGAGGGGGAGGGAGGAAGGAATGAAAGGAAGGAAAAGAAGAAAGGAGAAAAGGAAAGAAGGAAGGAAGGAAGGAAGGAGGAAGGGAGGGAGAGAAGGGCAGAGGGAGGGAGGCAAGGAAGGAAGAAAGAAAGAAAGGAGGGAGGAAGGGAGGGAGGGAGGAAGGAAGGAAGGAGGTAAGGAAGGAAGGAAGGAAAAAAGGAAGGAAGGAAGGAGGTAGAGAAGAGTGACTGTCAATGGTCAGGTATGTGGAAGTGATCAGCTGTTGTCTCAGTTAAATTTTTAACTTGTAAAAGACCATCTAAAGGATACAAGATTATATACAAGTCTATACCAACATGTATACTCACCTTTTTCAGACTTCAGTGTTTCCTTAGAGGCAGTTGGACTTTCTGGAGGACTTCAGCACAGGTTAAAGTTGTCAAAATATTTTTTCTCCTTTCTATGGCCTTTGTCCATGTAAAAACATGAAATCAATCAAGTGCAAAATGTGAACCAAAAATCCTTAGGAGGATTGAGAATGTGAAGATATTTTGAGGAGTGTTCTCCCCATCTGTGTCAATATCATTGTCCGTTAATTTATTTTCAAGCATCGGACCTAAAAATGTCAATTAAAGCTTCATTTAAAAGACAATGTCACCATATAAAACACAGAAAACTGCATATACATTATCAAATTTCTCCTCCTCCTCCTCTCTTTTCATTTACCCACAAAAGCATAAAATGAAATCTAGCAAAGTCATATTTGAGAGTGGCTGTATCTATGTATATAAACACCAACCAACATATCTCTCTCCTGAAGCCAGGATCTGAAGCAAATTTTGTTTCTTAATGACAAAACTTAAAGGAGAAAGATTGTTTTCAGTTAAAAGAAGCAAGATCTAGATATGAAGACCTATTGGGTACATGTGTAAATACAGGATGACTTCCAAATCATGTACCCAAGATGTATATGTTGCATAGTCATTTTATGAGAGTCGCATTATTGTGTTATATGTGATTGTGTTATATGTTCCCCAAATTATTTTCTGTTAATGTAGGCTTTTGCTAATGGGTTCATGCCAATGACAAATATCTAGGAACATTTGGTTCAATAATCATCACATTTACTACTATTCACATGACTTTCACTTCCATATTAGATATGGATAGATATTAGCACAATCAAATTTGAAATTAAACCACCAAGACAGCATCTGAGTGTGGTATCCTTCATGTGAGCTTTTTTTATGCTTCCCCTTTATAAAATTGAGGACTATAATATTAAAAAATAGCTTTATAAGGCTTCTACTGGGAAATAAAGTAACATATTTCAGAGATGAGATTCTCTAATAATGTGAACTTGATATAGTGATAGAATTTCAAAATCTAGATAAATCAATGGTCATTATATCTGTTTTAGTCCACTCAAATAGCATACATGTCAACCAAGCTTTTGTGAAGATAATGAGAACTCAAAATTCCTTTTGTTCCTCTTGAAGCTTTATAAAAGCATTATATTAAAATATTTAATTGCAATACTTTTTGGCAATTAGATGCCACCCACCTTTAGACTAAGATTTTAAATTTGAAGCATAAAGCCCTGGTGGTCACAATAGACATATCACAAATCAATAACTCTATAAGTTTAGATTACCCTGACACCCATTCTACCATTCATATAACAGGTCATAGAGCTGTACTTTTATTGGCATTATTTTTATTGATGTGTACATCAAAAATTTCACTTGAAAATCTAAAATATGATTGCATTTAATTTAATATTTTGTAAAGATTAAGTGAATGGAAATTTGCAATAATTGGAAAACTCAGAAAACAAATATAAAGGAACTCTTTACTTGCTATTGAGTCATAGTTGTTATAAAGTTAGATACTGGTGATGGTTGCACAACTCTACATATATACTAAAAACCATTGAATTGTATACTTAAAGTAAGTGAACTTTATGGTATGTAAAGTATGCTCTTTTAAAAATAGATATTAAGGCCGGGCTTGGTGACTCAGCCTGTAATCCCGCGTCTTGGGAGGCTGAGGTGAACGAATTGCCTGAGCCTGCGGGTTTGAGACCTGCCCAGGCAATTTGGCGAGATCTCGTCTCTACAATAAATAAAAAATTAGCCAGGCGTGGAAGCGTGCACCTGTAGTTCCGGCTACTTGGAAGGCTGAGGTGGAAGGATCATCGAGGCTGTGGTGGCCGGGAACATGCCACTGCACTCTAGTCTGGGCGATGATATGAGACTCCAACTCAAAAAAAAAAAAAAATTTTAAAAGAAATGTAATAAAAATAGACTCAAAAAAGTTCTATTTTCAGAGGACTCTTTATGATTTTCATAGTATTTTGGAAATTGTTAAATTCCTGTTAAATTTATAATCAGAAAAAATGAGATTGGTTTGTATACAAACTAATGCTTTTTTTAAAAACAAAATATAAGTACAACCAACAATGACAAAACAATTTTAACTGAAAAGTTATTATGATGAACTCCAATGATTTAATGTACAAGATAATAGAAGACATTGGTCTCTGTTCTATTTATATTTTAAGGTACATGTTCATATATATATATCAAAGGCTCATTACTAACCTGGAGTTAAGATGCTCGTGCTGACACTGCAGATCACCTAATTAATATTTCACATCTACTACATTTGATGGAACTTTTGAAAACACACAAATCTATTCCAGAGATGATTAATTATCATTTTACTGCCTCTCTAAAAATAATTCAGGAAAAGCATTATTTTAAGAGCTTAGAGTACTTTAGATTTGAGCCTTCCTTGGAGTTAAGATATGAATACCTATATCCTGTCTCCCATCGAGAATTAGAAATCCCTTAATGATGGTCCATTCATGAACAACTATCACAATGGAGGCTGGGGAATAAACCATCTGATGGTATAAATTTGCAATAATGAATCATGTTTATGTATCCAGGTGACAAAAATGAAAAAATGTAAAGATCTGCCAGATTATATAAACATAGCTGCTGCAATTATTTTAATAATTCAAGCAGAATAATATATACCATTATTCAGTTAATAGAGTATAAAATGTGTTTTTCTTATAATCAAATTAACAAATTGCATTCTAAAATATATTGAAAATTTGTCAACTATGCACATTATTTTATGTAATTTTTTCAAGCATAGCACTTTGGAGAAGACTTATACCTACTAGAGAGGCATCGAATGTATGTGACAAAATGTTGACCTTCTCTATAGTTGTATAGTCAGGGATGTTGAAATCTCCTGGTGTCTAAGTTACTTTGTACATCATTTATCATAGATAGCCTCCCTACTGCCCCAATTCATTACAAGTTAATGCAGGCTTCTGCTAATGGTTTCATGACAAATATCTCAGAACACTATGATAAATAATCACCACATTTGCCACTATTCACATGGCATTCACTTCCATATTAGATGTACAATTGCAACCAAATTTGGAATTTCATCACCATGACAGCATTTGAGTGTAGTAAAAAGTGTCAGGTTCTGTGCTGGCATCAGACAATTATGTTTCACTTAGAATGAGTCACAAAGTCTAAATTCTATTTCTTTATTTAAAACACAGATAATAATTACTAAAATAGTTTGCAGAAGGAGGCTACCAAGTTAAGTGGTATTTGTTTCTGAGATGCAGTTTTATGTGAATACAGATGCAATCATTAGGTGAATATATAAAATAAAGAATTATAAGGAAGTTTTTGATAATTAACTGAAGTAAATACTTAATTTGGAGGCAGGGAGAGATTTACTAAATGTGACAGTTAATTTTATGTGTCAACATGGATAATATTTGGGATCCCATCAACAATTAAAATGGTGAATCTTGAGTCATGTGAACTGCTCTCCATAATATGGGTGGACAATATCCCATTAGTTGAAGGCATACATAAAACAAAAGGACCGGTTTTCTCAAGCAAAAAGGAAATATCTTCAGCAGATTGCCCTCACACCATATGCCATCAGTTCAGACTACCAGGTTTTCCTAGGATCCTTTCACCCAGTAAAGCTACTTTTACTGCATATTCTATTAACTAGTATACTTAATACTAGATGAGGACCTGTGGAAGAGGCGCTCAAAATGGAATTTTGAAATTGAATCACTCACAGGTCCAATAAAACAGGCCCTATTGCTGGTAATAAGTGAGATCATGATAGTCTCTGGAATACTGTAATATCACAATTACCAAGAATCTCATCTGTGATTATGTAAGTTGAACTAAAGATCTGGAATTTGAGATATGTGAAACCATGGTTCTTTATAAGGATAGGGAGTTGGCTAGTTATTTTTAACTGACATCAAAGTGCCCTGTGACAGTGTATGAAGAGATCTCACATGTCATATGGTAAGACTGTGCCGAAAATCAGGACAAATACCAATTGTAAGAGTAGTGTAGTTACAGGTAAGTTCAAACTCACAACTCTGGAGATTCTTTTATGCTTAAGCAAGGGCTCTAGTAAGAAAAAAAGTTCAGATCTGATATCTGATGTGAGAATATC